TTTTTTTTTCGGAGGCCCCGCGCGGCCTCAAATTTTTGTTAATATTTTTTTGTGGTTTATGACGCGACATCCCACTCGGGTCTAAAACACCCCTCCCCAACTTTTTTTTTTTTCTCCACCCCTTATTTTCGGGGTGCGCCGCAACCCGTGCGCGAGCGTCGTGCGCTGTGCACAGTGCGGCGCGTGTGCGCGGTGCAGCGCACGTCGATGCCCCGCAAGTATGGTGTTTAGCTGCTCCAAGGTTTGGTCCGCACCAGCTCGCCCTGGTGGTGATAAAGTAACAGCACATCGCTCTGCAGGTGGTTCATACAGCACTCTATTTAGTATTTTCCACCTCGGGCTGGTGTGTCTGTAGTTCACCTGGCAAGGAAGAGGGAGATCCGTCTGCGGTTGCTGTAGGTGTATGACCAACACCGCATGTGGGACATACTAGGAGAGGATGTGGCGGATGATGGCATCGGCGATAGTCCACGCAGTAAAGACACACACTTTCAATGACAGCTTCCTCCAGGACATGCGTTAAGATTGGAACAATACAGAGAAGATTCGCACGGCCCCTGTGCAATGATGACACACATAAATTGAGAAATGCGTTAGGGATTGCCTGTATCGCTCTGATGTTATATGCACCACCAGAACCATTCCTAAGAGTCCAAGCCATTTCTCGCTGACTTAGAGAATCATGTCGTTCAGGCACTACATAATCGAGTTCGTTATCCTCATTCGTTCCGACTTTTAGCCCCTGAGCCGGCCTCGGAGGTGCGAGCCTCCTGTTGCTCGGTTTGACCAAGTGCTTTTCCACGCGCATTTCGGCAACGCTACCCTTGGTTGATTTACTCCATAATAAATACAGGAAGGAGACCGGACGCCCACTTCTTTGCGTCTTGCTTTCGTGTCCAGCATGTCTTGCTGCACTTCATGCCTGCCTTCGCTCGGCGTCCGATATCGACGAAATACGCCTTACACGGCGCACCATAAACCATGCCCAAATAGCCAAACACAGGCTTTCTGGAAAAAGTAGAAACCACATGACTGATAATACCAAATCCAGGAAGAATGAAAATATAACATTATTTTGGCTCACCGGCGGAAGGGAAGAGCCTGGTAGAGCACGTCGCCGCTCTCGCGACGGATAGGACTTTCTCTTATTCCCTCTGAGAAAGCAATTTGATGCAGATAACAGATTTGCAAAGTGGGTTGAATTGAATGGTCCTCAGCTGTACTACACACATGTGACGGTTAGTAAAGAACTTGTTGCGAGTTCAAGTCCTGATGCGGAATCCGAAGAATGATATTATAATAATTAATAATTATATATTAAATTAATAATAATATTATATATATTAAGGGATCAAGGAAAGGGAAAAAGGGCAACAAGAAAAAACGAAAGAAAACAGTGCTGAACAGCAATTTGGCTCTCTGCTGGACCCTTGGTTTTTGACAGGATGCAGGATTACGCTCATTTTGTTTGTTGTTTTTTTTTAGATGTTGTCATTGCAACTCTATGCTTCGTCCCCTTATCCAGGACTTTTACATACTCCTTTCTCCCAAAAGGACAGACTTGAAGAGCAATTCCTCCTCCCCTGGACTTCACCTCCTTCCTCCCACTTGCCGTGTTGCTGTTGTTATTGGGATCAGATTTTTATTTATTTATTTATTTATTTTTTGCTCCCCAGAATGGACAAGGAACCAGCACCATCAGGTAATGGTATCAGAATCCTTTTTTTTTCCCCAAAAAAAAACAGGGCCTTATGGTCCTGGCTCAGAATCCTTTTTTTTTTTTTCCAAAAAAAACAGGGCGTTATGGTCCTGGCTCCATATCCATTCTGGGGCGCGTCAGTCCGGTTCCTTTTCCACCGCCAAGTCAAGAATGGGATCAGATTCATCAGAATCTTAAAATTGAGTAAAAGACTAAAAGTTATAATTTTATTATTACAACTACAATTTCTGCATTNAGGCTTGGTTTTGTTTTGGCTGTGTGTGTGTGTTTATAGGATGGGCTACTTGTCGTGGGCCCCTTTGAGCCCGGGTCCCGTAGGTTAATGAGTTTTTTTTTTCGGTTTTTTTTTTTTTTTTTTTTGCATAAGCCTTGGTTTTGTTTTGGCTGTGTGTGTGTTTATAGGATGGGCTACTTGTCGTGGCCCCGTTGAGCCCGGGTCCCGTAGGTTAATGAGTTGTTTTGGTGTTGGCTGGAACGAGTGGTGGGTCTTAATGAGGCAAGGACCCTGTAGGTTAGCGAGTAATCCTCGAGAATTACTAGTGTTCTGGCGCGGTCTTAGTTGTCCTGGGTATCGCCATACTACCGCAGCATAAGGACAATGGTTCGACACGGGTTAAGACCTTCTGAACCTGCAAACTCGGTCAACCGGCGGGTGAAGTACGCAGGTTGGGTTAGCGGATTAGCGGTTGGGTTAGCGGATTAGCGGTGCTTCTTGGGTGGGGTTTGGGATTGATGATGATGTTCTTCAGTTGTACTGTACGTATACCAATCATTGTTGATGACTCCTGCGTCTGTCATCTTCTGAATTGTCTATTGTATTCATATATTCATATGTCCTAGAATTGGAGCGTTCATTTGTTTTTTGGTTTCTGTTTTTTTTTTTTGTTTGTTTGTTTGTTTTTTAAAAACAAAACAAGGGTCCTTCTATTTTCAGTTCCCCGAATTCGTCATTCAAAACTTCGAGAGAGTCTAGAGGGAAATTGTTTTCTTTTTTAAGTCCTACCGCCTTCACCCAAATAGAACGCCCAGTCATTATCGCTTTAGCTATTATACTGAAAAAGTTCCCCCAAACACAGCTATTACAACGGTGACGAGTCTGAAGACGGTTCGGGGAATTTCATGGTATCTTTCATTATTAAGTTTCATATTAGTTTTTTCTCAGTCAACCCCCATCCACAGATCCTTCAGAGAATTGTATTGTGGAGTTTGGCCACAGTGAGCTCATGCGACAAGGCAACCCAGTCTGAATTGCCAGTGTGAGAATTGTATTGTGGAGTTTGGCCATAGTATTTTTCGCTGTTATCGTGGAGTTTGGCAATTCAGTTGAATGCACACACTCTCTGGAGGCAGCCCAGTCTGTTATTACCCTCCAGACTCGGAGTGACAACAAAATATTGACGAAAGTGTCAAAAACGTCCAGACCGCGACCAGACAAAGAGGAAAACAGGGGCAGGAGCAGAGCCAGCAGCAGCAGCAGGAGGAGGAGGAGGAGGAGGAGGAGGAGGGAGGCAGATAAGCATTTGAATAGAGAGGCAAGAAATGGGATCACAGAAGCAGTCCATGAGGAAAGAGATGAGATCTCCTGAAGGAGGGGCAGCAGCAGCAGGAGGAGGAGGAAGAGGAGGAGGAGGAGGAGGAGGAGGGGAAGGGGGTTGTGGGGGGGGGAGGGGGGGACGTAATACGTCATTAATAGAGAGGCAAAGAATGGGGACACAAGCCCAGTCCATGAGGAAGCTTAGAGGTGAGGCCTCCTAAAGCCTACTAAGAGATTATATGCTGACCAGCAGCTCGGTTCAAGACAGACTGAGAAACAATTAGGGAACAACGATGTGCAATGTATTGCCGCCACTCATGCCATGACCTAAAAGACCCCGAAGCGCACCCTCCCTACCCCCCCCTCCCCGGCCTGCTCAGGAAAAAACAATCGTCTCCAATTTGACAAACCCTTCACGCCTACCTCTGCCTCCGATCCCTAAGAGTGAACACTACAGACAAGATCAGCGTTTGAATCCCCTGCAGATGTTATACACCGGACTGAAAAAGAATTGGGCAACGACGATGTGCAAAACGCATTGCCGCAACTCACGCCATGACCTCCAGTACGATCTGCCCGACCTTGTACGAAACTGACACAAATCTGACACAAATCTAACACAGAACTGCAGCAGATCTGACACAAATCTGACGGTAAAAAACTGACACTAAACTGCGGCAAACCTTAAGGTACCTGACACTAAAATGACGTGAAACTGGCAGGCTATCGGTATCAATGTGGGCGGTGGTCAACCTAACACCAACCAAGTGTGGAGGGGGGAGGCTTGAGGGTCGACGGAATCGAGCCCACAACCTGGCCTCTTGCAAAGCCACTGCCTCGTCCATGAGATGAGCCCTAGAGGTTGGCCCTGACTGTGACCCTTTTCCAAATGCTCAGAAGCTCAGTAACTGCACATGCGTGGAACTTGAAAAAAAAAAAAAAAAAAAAAAAAAAAAAAAAAGAAAAAAAAAAAAAAAAAAAAAAAAAAAAAAAAAAAAAGAGAGAGAGAGAGAGAGAGAGAGAGAGAGAGAGAGAGAGAGAGAGAGAGGTTACCTCAATCATGTCCTGCATCTCTGGGTAAACAGTGATAAGCAGAGCAATGTTCGTCAGCGAGGCAGTGCAAACGAGGGCAATACGGCGATTCCCTCCTTCTTCACTGGTGCATTGTCACCACACGCACGCAAACAACAGAGTGGTGCTGTGAATTGGATGTGCGATTTTCGCAACTTGTCGTGCACTTATGCTTTTTTTTTTTCCCTTTTTTCTTTTCAGCGACCACCGACCACAGGAGGATCACTTTTGGCACGGTGTCGATCAGGAGGCCCCGCCTTGATAGCCCCTTTGAGGGGTTGGGAAGGCTTGCTCCTTCGGCGTAATCCTGTTGTAGGGTTAGGCTGCTTAGGCAGCAATTAAGCTGGCACACCTGGGCAGAGCTTCGGTGCACTCCGTACTCATTCGTTTACTCCTTCACAACACGGCCAGGACGGCTCCCTCTGCGGAGAGAGCCGATGTGCTCGACAAAAGCCATTGCATTCACCAGATCTCCATGACTGGGCCGTACCCATGAGCAACATGTATGGAGTACAAACTTACAAAGCACATTGAATAGGGTCCTAGTAGGGGTGTTATATTTCAGCCTGACAGCAAGGCTCCACCCAAGAGAGAAGTAAAAAACGCAGCACTTGCGATGATGCCACGAATTCAACAGCCGCCTTGAAGCCAAATCCAGCCACAAACTCATCACAGATCAAACGACTCTCACAAAGTTCACAAACCAACGCCGGATTTTCCGAAACTCTATAGGTTACGGTAGCCGCTGGCGTTCGAGACTTGAACGGACGCCATTAAGATCTCCATGTGATGACAAAAAAACAGTGCCGCATAGAACCATACTTCACGTGGCTCAGCGTGCAGCTAGACACTGTGGCCCACTCAGCTATAGAGCCAGGGATTGATATGCATCTGAAAATCGGAACTCCATTATTGCAGCTAAAACGGGAACAGAAACTGGAACAGCAACCGCAACAGAAACTGGAACTGAAACTGGAACAGAAACCGCAACAGAAACTGGAACAGAAACTGGAACTGAAACTGGAACTGAAACTGGAACTCGAACTGAAACTGGACTGGAACTGAAACTGGAACAGAAACTAAAACTGGAACTGAAACTGGAACTCGAACTGAAACTGGAACAGAAACCGCAACAGAAACTGCAACAGAAACTGGAACAGGAACTAAAATTGAAACTGAAACTGAAACTGAAACTAGACTAGAACTGGAACTGGAATTGGAACTGGAATTGGAACTGGAACTGGAACTGAAACTGGAACTGAAACTGAAACTGAAACTGGAACTGAAACTGAAACTGGAACAGAAACCGCAACAGAAACTGCAACAGAAACTGGAACAGGAACTGAAATTGAAACTGAAACTGAAACTGAAACTAGACTGGAACTGGAACTGGAACTGGAACTGGAACTGAACAGGAACTGGAACTGGAACTGGAACTGAAACTGGAACTGAAACTGGAATTGAGAACAGCATTCCGTAAGTTGATCTCTGACTGCCAGTGACTGGTGCCCTTGCTCCTGTTTCATCATTCGTAACAAATTTTCTGATGGTCTCAAGAATAGAAACTGGTCTCTACCACCAACGGGCCTAGCTCAGTTGGTACACACATGAACTGCTGAAATACAGACCCCAGTTCAAATCCAGAGGGAACTACCGCTTTCCCTCGCATAGAACACGTACAGTCATTACATCTGTCTTTGGGCCTTTTTTCAGTGTAAGAGTCAAGTCATTCGACAATAAAAAAGACTGTAGGTTCTATTTGGGTGAGCACGGTAGTTGAATGTAGTCAAATACCTGGGCCCGATCAGTTCAACGGCTATCTCAAAGGCGTCACCCTTTTGGAAAAAGAAAGGAAAAAAACAGCTGGTCTCTACTGGGAAAAACTTCCGAAAAAGGTTTCTTTTTCTTTCTTGTTTGCGCACCTTGGACTTTGAAATCTTCTGCTGATCCTCTCATACATGACATTCACTGCCTTGCCCCGCAATGGGCCTTTCATCGGCTCGGGAAGACTGGTACCATTAAGTCCCGTCTCCCCGTGAATCTCCGGGCATGCTCGTCTTGGTCTAATCAACGGCTTCGCTTGTCCTGCGACAACATCTGCCAAAATCAACGGCTTAGTTTGTCCTGCAGGAACAACATCTGTCTTACCCTCCCCAACCGCCACCCCTACCCCCCAAACCCACCCCCCTCTCCTCCCCCCCCCAAAAAAAATTAATAATAATAATAATAATAATAATAAAAATCCAACCAGGACCACCACCATTAAGTACCTTCTTCCCCTGAATAGAACGTACGGTCATTATCCCTGCATTTAGACTGAAAGTTGCCTTAAATACAGGTATAATGACCATACCTTCTATTCGGTGGGGGGCGGAAGACCGTAGTATGCAAAGTTGCAAACTGAAAACGGCGAGGAGAGGATTCGTTCATGCCCATGAGCGAACAGCACTTGAACTCACAAGCAACAGATATTGCAGGTTTTTTTTTTTTTTGAACTTCGTTTAGTGTCAAAAAGTTAGTAATCAAACGCCTTGAGAGAGAGAAAACACCGCAGCACAGGGAGTGAAACAAGAGTTTTTTTTTTTTTTTTTTTTTTTTTTGAAACAAGAGAATTGTATGAAGTAATACAAAGTTACAAACAGACGATGACATTATTTACAGGGATGACATGGCAGAACAGCCCTACGGGACATCCATTCAAATCTGAGGGATAGTAGGCTATACCAAAAAAAAAAAAAAAAAAAAAAAAAAAAAACAGAAAAGATTAGCATCGTTCCTGTGCAAGGATGACACAGCCACAATTATTTATTTTATTTATTTATTTAAAGGTATGTTCTTCTTTCAATTTCACCTCACACTACCTACCTACCACTACAGCCACAAATTGACAAGTGGCCCAAAAGACAAAAGGGAAAAAAAAAAAAAAAAAAACACCACGGCAGGACAGTCATGTGCCACATAATATGAGCAAATGCAATGAAAAATGGTTGACAACAACCGGAGAGTCTGAAGTTGCATCCGAATTCTACAAATGGTACTAAATTGCTGCTAAGGGAGGGGACCGGGGTGGGGGGGTGTTTGCCAGTGGTGCTGTGTTCATGCTCAGAAAGAAGGATCGTAGTCTCAATAATGGGCAGGTTCATGCAAAGAACCAGTGGAACCTGGGACTGAGTTGCTAAGGGCCAGGTGCCACTGGTGCTAGATTCATGTTCAGAAAGCACGAACCTGGTCTCGACGAAGGCCAGGTTCATGCTAAGAACCAGAGGGAGGGACCTGCGACTAACCATCGCACACTCCGTCAAACACTATGGTGAGAAAGTGTGAAGCAGGCACATTCTTTTTTTTTCTTTTTCTTTCTACAGGCCTCTCCCAATAGCAAGAGTAAGAGAGCATGATCCTGGTCCCAATAATGGCCAGGGTTCATTTCAATACAGGAGACACTTACGTACGAGCAAAAAATATTCCACAGGCCTCTTCCAGGAGCAAGAGTTGGGGTCAAATCCCCACCGGAGCCATTTCCATGCTTATATATATCATGAATCCAGCCATTACTATGGCCAGGTTCAAGCTTTCAACGCACAAATGTAGCAACTGTTTCTACCCATAGAACTCTCCCACCTGTGTGTGGGAAAGGAGGGTGTGCTCCTCGCAACAGGAGGAGCCATCATTGCCACAAACGCGAGGAACAAACGAGAAAAGCGGGCATACCGATGTCGTCCCGCCCACATGTCCGCAGAACCTTGAGCGCATTGAGTGTGACCTTGGAGACCTGTCACAGTGAAGTCCCAACTGTCAGACACAAACAGTCAGCAATCGACCATTCATTTCTTCAAACACCGATTGCAGGTCTTTAACCCGCCCACCAGTAGTCCAGATTTTTGTCGTGACACAAGGGGAGCCACAGGTCAGCAAAAATGATGCAACACGACTGCCGATCGGGGGGGGGGGCGGGGGGGGGGGGGGGGCACAACTGTCTTTTTTTCTCAGCCCCTCTAAACATTTGCAGACCCAGATCCTGATAATTCACAGGAGGTGCTCGTGGTTCGACAGACTAAGTGAAATGTGTTGAGCACTTGAAGGTGAGGTGCTCCTGGTTCAACAGACTGACTAAGTTCAATCTGTTGAGCACTTGGAGGTGAGGTGCTCCTGGTCCAACAGACTAAGTTCAATCTGTTGAGCACTTTAGGTAAGTTAGTAGGACGCACATTAACCCATCCGGGGCATACAAAAGAAAGGATGCAGAGTGAAGGGTCAGGAGGAAACGCGACACAACAAGGATGAAATCAAATCAAATACCACAGAGATAACATCATCCTGCGGGACAGAAAAGGCGACACGGAATGCTCCTGGCAATCCACTTGATTATGGGTCATGGGTTACCACTGGATTATGGGGCTACAGGAATGGGTCACCACTTCATTACGGGGCTCCAGCAAATTGAGCATGGGTTACGGGTCACCAATTGATTGAAGGCCTCACCACTTGATTATGGGTCGATTAAGGGTCACGGACATGATGGGCGATCCACTTGGTTATGGGTCATGGGTTACCATTTGGTTATGGAGCTTCAACAAATTGAGCATGGGTCATGGGTCATGGGTCACCACTTGATTATCGGCTCCAGTGGATTGAGCACGGGTTATGGGCCTTATGGCCCTTATGGGTCACCAACTGATTGAGGGGGTCAGCAGTTGGTAGTGTATGGGTCATGCATGGGTAATAGGTCACCAATTGATTCTGGGTAATGGGTCTCAAAACCGCTTTGTGATGGGGCTCCAGCGAATTGAGCATGCGTTAGGGGTCACCACTTGATTATGGGGCTCCAGCAAATTGAGCACGTGCAAGGAAATGGGCGATGCAAATGACAATAAAGTTGTTTACGATCCTGGTCATTTCCAAAGTGCAAATTCACAAGGAAAGACAATGCCACCCAATTGCGAAAGAAACGAAAGCACTTGCAAAGAGATAGAGACCAAAGAAGAGAGAAAGAAGAAGAAGAAGAAGAAGAAGAAGAAGAAGAAGAAGAAGAAGAAGAAGAAGAAGAAGATGTACACCAGCAAGACCAATGACAAATCCCCCTTCTCTCTCCACCTTCCTCCTCCTCAACTTCGCCAATCTTATTCTTCTTTCAATAATAATAATAACAATGAGCGGATGAAGCCCAGAATCAATATCCGAAGTTCCCTCTTACTGCTGACACAACAACAGGTCCACCATAGCCATGGCTTCCCCCTTCTTCCTCCTCGCAAATGCCTAGGCTATGGCGGACTACTAAGGGCTCTGCCCTCCTGTCCGAAGGACAACCCAAAGCATCTATGTCGCTGCCCTCCTGTCCTAAGGACAACACAAAGCAGCTATGTCGCTGCTCATCAGGCCACCATGCCGGACTCTGCCTCGAGCTTCCTTGGTGTGGCACTACCCCAACTGGGGCCTTCCAGATGCAGCGCCTATCAAGGTCATGAAGATGGTGTCCACCATAGCCAGGTAGGTACCTCGCCATTCTCCTCCTTCACCCCCTTCTCCCTCCTCCTCAGGCTGGGCTGCTCGCCATAGCCAGGCTGAGCGCCCAGCTGCTCTCCTCCTCCGGGCAGCGCTCCAAGTCCAGCGCTTGGCTCCAGCAGTATGTTGCCAATCCTTGGACACCACAAATCAGGAGGAGCTACTTTCTCCTCCTGAAGATATAGCGGCCCACTTGCCTCTTGGGCGGTGAATTCCTAGGCGCACGCGGCCTCCCAGCAACCGGTACCTCCTCCCTTTCGGAGGGAAACATCATTGCAGGCTCTGATATTGTCCGTAGGCTACTTGGACTGGTACCGGCCAACCTCTAGCCTACTGCTACTGGGGCTCTAAAAAAAATGCCAACTTTTTGTCTTCTTCTGCTCGACCTCCAGTACCCGACACTTCTACCACTACTTGAGTGCTACCGGCCTACCTGCTACTTGAGTGTTTTTCCGCTTCTCTGAGTGCTACCGGCCTACCTGCTACTTGAGTGTTTTTCCGCTTCTCTAAGTGTTAAGGGCCTACCCCCGCTACTTGAGCGTTTTTCCCCGCTGCAACCCTCAAAGTCACGGCCACAGGTAAGTACCGGCCCTGTGCGGCCTCTCAACCAACAAGTACCCTTGCGGGTCACACACACACTCAGGCCGACAAGCACTCAGACAGGCATGCAGACCAGCGGGCACACACACACACACACACACACACACACACACACAGACTTAGAAATCACAGCAGAATGCGGGAATCTCAGCAAGGCATACATTCCAGCGGCAAACCCCAGAAATCAGCAGTGTTCTAAGTCTGTGTTTTGGCGGATCATTACAAAGTTAATTATTAAATAAGGTTTAAAGAGTTATTTTGTTCTCATCGTCTTCCTATCCTAATGGGAGAGTAGGTTATCTAAACAATTCCGGTGGTTCTTTGGTACCTAAATAAAAAAGAGATGGTATTTTATTTTATAAACCACAAAAACTTTTTATTTCTATTTTTCAATGAAATAAAAATTGAAAAATAGATTTCTTCATTAAACCAGATTGCAGCATTCCATAGAAATCCAAATAACTTTTGAGCCCGAGGCGCCGAACTGAAAGCAGATCGCAAACTCAGAACACACCAAATAGGTACGAGCAAAGCGTTGATGTCACATGATAATGAAAGTCCTCGTCTCGCCTCCGATCACCAATGTCAACAATGTAGCACCAATGTCAACAATGTAGCTCTCCTACGTTGGCGTTTGGCGCCCAGACTACAGACAGACAGACCCTATGACCTGGACTCCTATCTTCAACAGGTCCGTTATGAAGATCATCAGCCCGGCAAACGCCTGAAGACTCCGATTGCACTGCGCCCGGTGAGTGCCTCATCACACCGCATTCCTCCCTGCCTTCCCCCACAGTCCCTTCTGCCCAAGGACCACCGCCTTCCTCCTCCGGCTATGGCCACCGGCAGCCAGGCTATGGCTGCTGTACCCTCCTACTTTGCTGTGCCCAGAATCTTCCTCGTGCCCTGCCAGCGCCCTTCTTCCCTCTGGTTTGGCACTCATCCACACTAGTGAGTGCTCCAGCAGCTGCTGCATCCAACCAGCCAGAATGATCCAAGTGAGGCATCCTCTCTTCCTTTGTGCTGGCTGCATGGCTCGCGGCCTGGCCGGACTGGCTGTGCCTTGTCCCAGTATCTGTGCCCTGGGCCCTTCCTGGAATGTGCCTTGGGCCTACCTGACTGAGCCTTGGGCCTAACTGACTGAGCCTTGGGCCTAACTGCCTGAGCCTTGGGCCTCAGCATCTTCAACCACCCGGGGTTGGGCTATACCGGTTGGTTGAAGATGCTCTGTGTAGCAACTTCCCACGGGGCCCCTTTTTCTAATCTCTTAGGCCTCAGTGGAGGCCAAGGGTGGAATTTTGAAGGTCGGCCTTCATATAGGGTGGGCATGGCTTTTCCGCAGCATCGCTGAGGGGCTTAGTCCACGCACATGGTTCATCTATTACCAATTAATTGAGGGGGTTACCACTCCACTATGGGTTATGGGTCACCGCTTGATTGTCGGCAGAGGTTGCAAATGGGAAGTTTAGGAACATCCGTACCCTACCTAACCACACCCTCTTTAAAAACCACCCACCCATACCCACCCTATAGCTGGCCAACCGGACCCTTACCCAGCCCAACCCGCCCTAAAAGTAAAAGAGGTGTACCCATACTCGCCCTACCCGAACCTCTTCAGAATGTAAACCGCCCATACCCACCCGTCCACATTTTTTTTCAAAACCATCCATGGCCACTCGAACCCAAACCCTTTGTGAACCACCCATAACCTACCCTGCCCATGTTTTCTTTACCAGTACCCACCCACAATCGTATGCACCCACCCGTACCCACCCACAATTGTATGCACCCACCCGTACCCACCCACAATTGTATGCACCCACAAGTACCCGCCCCCACCCGGAACCCACCATCGCCGAACCCTTCCCGAATGATTCCATAACAACGATCGACATGTATGAACACCGACATGGAACAGAATTGCACTTGGTCCGACTGTCCTACGATTCCACACTGAATCCACAGCAACGATGAAAACGTACGGACGCCGACATGAAAGGGGATACCACTTGTCCAAGATGTCAAACGAAGGAGAGGAGGAAGATGGGGAGGAGCGCCGTTGATGTTCTCTAGGCGGTGGTGGCACTGCCGCTGGCACCTTGTCTCAACCCCGTTGTCCCATGGTGTCGTGATTATCACCTATGACACTTGCAGCTCGCTGGTTGGTCTTCAGAGGCGGCGGTGGTTGTGAAACTCAGCGGCAACGTACAATGCACGAAGGTGAGCTGGCGGCACTGCGTGACTGCCCTCAAATGCTGCCCTCGATCATTCGACTTCAGAGTCGAGGCAGCACAAGATTTGAAAACAGTGGGCTGGCAGGGCAAAGAGAAAGCCTGCTGCACTCAGACGTTCGAGCCTTCGAGGGAGTGGGTACAGGAACAACGGCGGGCCGGTGGCGCAAAAAAAAATTCGGGCCTGAACTTACCTATGTTGGGGACTTGGGGTGGAGAGGAGAGGGGGAGGGGGAGGGGGTATACTACCTGGTACTTGTACTCCGGTCATACACCATTTCAGATTTTTTTTTTTACCACCCTAGACCACCCATACCCGTGTTTATTTTCTTATTGGCAGCCCATACCCGGGTTATTTTTCTTCCCCCCCCCCTACCCACCCCTACCCGCTCATGATCTCCATGGGGGCAACTGTGCCTGCCCTAACAACGACCAATATTTTTTTTTGGCCACCCATACTGTGGCATACTCAGTTCCACACGGGCCCATCAGGGCCCAACCAGGTAGGCTAGGGGTCCGTAGAGTGTAGGGTCTGTGTCGTTTCGACCTCAGTAGGGTCCTCAGGGTCGGTAGGCCGGGTTTTAGGCCTGAGTAGGACCGGTACCAGTTAGAGGCCCAGTAGGCCTAGTTTTGGCTACAGGCCCTGGCGCGCGTTTTGGCGCCAGACCCTGATTTTGAGACTGCGCCATTTCAGTAGGCGCTGGGGGCCCAGCCTCAGTTTGGGCGCCAAACTTTCGAGGCCCAGCCTCAGTTTGAGCGCCAGGACTTAGCAGCTGAGGCCGACCCAGCGCTATATATAGCTTGGTCCGGCCTCAGTCACGGGGCTCGGTAGAGGATCAAGGTGAGGCATACTTCGGACGACGGCAGTGGAGTAGTATTCGACGATAGGACTAGTCTTCCAGCGCTGGGCGCTGATAGAGTAGAGTAGCGCAGGGAGGGAGAGATGGTGATGGCAGCCAGACGACTTACCTGAGACTTACCTGCGTGGCCATTGCTCCAGCTTCGTCTTCAGCACGCCCGCACCTGGATCAAGGCACCACCTTTTGCAGGTCAGTACCTGGTAGAGAGAGAGAGAGAGAGAGAGAGAGAGAGAGAGAGAGAGAGAGAGAGAGAGAGAGAGAG